GTGTGTGTGTATGTATGTATGTGTGTGTGTGTGTGTTTGCGTGTGTGCGTATGTGTACGTGTGTGTGTGCGTATGTGTACGTGTGTGTGTTTGTGAGTGTATGTGTGTGTGTGTGTGTGTGTGTGTGTGTGTGTGTGTGTGTGTGTGTGTAATTTCTTCATTCACATGAGCAAATATGATTTTTTTTCTTTGTACCGTCATAGTTCTTAGTACATCACTTTGATTTTTATGCAAAGCGCCTAAAGCCATGTGAACACGGGAGTAAGCACCATAAAAACGATCTTCATTATTAATTTATTTTCTTTTTCACTGAGCTTCGAAGCACGGGGCTCTCGTGGTTTAGAATACGATGTTTGCCTCTAATCCAGAAGGTTCTGGGTTCGAAACCTGACAGGGACGGAAATTTTTCTTTTCTAAAATTTTATCTCACCTCCTTTCCTGGTGTCTAATTATGTTGTGTCGTCTGCTTTCGCCTCCACTTTCTGCCCCCTCCCCCAACCCCTTTTGCCCCCTCCTCTGGGCGCCTGACTCTTTCTGCTGCCTTTCTACTGCTTCTTCTGGGTTCCTTCCTACTGCTGTCTTCCAGCCACACCCCTAATTTTAGGGCAGGTAAAATGTAACACCTAGTCTTCTAGGATAAGGGCGAAAAAGTCTGGAAGGTCTCGTCTGCGAGTTGCGCACGTTAAAGATCCCTTGGTGGTCCTATAATAGGTAAGAGCAGTGGCGGGGCGTAGTGAAGAACTAAAGGGCTTGAGCCCCACTCACTCCTACCTTCTACTCTTTCCCTACGTAAATGAACGTATCATAATGAACGAAATAAATAGTTGAAACCGTAAGACTGCTTCAGAATCTTCCGTCTCAGGTTGCACGCAGTGAACCCACACGCTGGTTCTTTTATCCAATCACTGTTGCCACCGCTTACATCGATAGTAACCTAACAGCCAATCAAATGTCTTTAGGGCTCAGCAAAGGTTGAGCCCGTTTCCATGGCCCTGTCCTCAGAATTCTTAACTTTATTTATAAAATTCTGTGGTCCTCTCTTAATGAAAGTCTTCCTTAAAAAAGGTAACCCCCAACAAACAAACGAAAGCCTGCAAAAAATGTTATTAGAGACGGCTCGTCCTCTGCAAACCCTGACAATGGGGGGAAAGTTCATGACACACTTTCCTCAAAGACCCAGTAACCAAACACGCTCATTTGGGAGTTCGTTTGGAATATCTTGCTTTGAGGATCAGGTTACTACACGACCTGATCCAGTCACTTTTGTGCGTGTGCGTGTGCGTGTGCGTGTGCGTGTGTGTGAGCGTGTGTATGAAAAATACTCACACATATCTAGAACTTCCTCTGTACCTAGGAAATCTTACATTTTAACTTAAGCTATCCTCATCTCCTCAGCCGCCACTGGCTAAGAGTAGGCTTTGGCCGTAACCTGGGGAAAATTTAAAATTAATTCCTACCAAACTGAAAATGTTGAATTTGTCCCGAGCGCTTATATGATCTTATGCAGTTGTGAGTGCCGCAAAACACTCAGCAAAAAAACAACAACAAAAAACAAACCCCAACCCCAACAACAACAACAACAACAACAACAACAACAACAACAACAACAACAACTAAAACAAACATTTTAAAAGAATAAGAAGGAATCAGGACCCAAAAAAATAAAATAATAACAACAACGAGATGCTTCATCAATCTTCTCATCATCTTCCTCCCCCATCCCAATCCTCAGTTCCGCTTCCTCTTCCTCCCCCCCCCACCCCCTTC